AAGTTAAATAATGTAGAACTTAGCCATACAGATTGCAAAAAGGACTTGGGGGTTATGGTAAGCAGCAACCTTAAACCAAGACAGTAATGCCCAAGCGTACGTAATAAGGCAAATAGATTACTGGGATTTATATCAAGAAGTGTAAGCAACAGAAGTCCTGAGGTCATACTGCAGCTTTATACATCATTAGTAAGGCCTCACCTAGATTATGCAGCTCAATTCTGGTCTCCATATTACAGAATGGACATAAATTCGTTAGAAAACATTCAGCATAGGATGACTAAATTATTACATAGCATTAGAAATCTTCCTTATGAAGAAAGATTGAAGACTCTTAAGTTACATTCACTTGTTAGACGAAGAATGGGGGGAGACCTGATCGAAGTGTATAAGTGGAAGATAGGTATAAATAAAGGGGATATTAACAAGGTCTTGAGGATATCTCTCCAAGAGAGAACCCGCAGTAATGGATTTAAATTAGATAAGTTTAGATTTAGAAAGGACATAGGAAAGTATTGGTTTGGAAATAGGGTAGTTGATGAGTGGAACAGTCTACCTAGTTGGGTTATTGAGGCTAGGACTTTGGGTAGTTTCAAATTTAGGTTGGATAAGTACATGAGTGGGAGGGGTTGGATTTGAGTGGGACTTGCACATCGGAGCTTGTTTCTTGGGTGGCATTGAAAATAGGGCTGGTCAAATGTTTGTTACTGGGATGAATTGTAAAGGACCTGCCTAGTATGGGCCAACAGGCCTGCTGCAGTGTTCCTTCTTTCTTATGTTCTTATGTTCAAAGCTATTGAGCAAGTTGAGTTGTACACATGGAATGTCAGAGAAACTTGTTCCTTGTATTGAATGTAATAATGCTTTCCTGTACTACTAATACATACTTTTTGTCAAAGAACCTCAGGATGACATCAGTTAGCCATAGGCTATTTAATCTTTGTCACCTGTTTGGGTTGTAATGGCCACTGTCTGGTGTAGAGGCTTTGTATCATGTGAAGAATGTGAACATAAAATTTTTTAATAATTGAGCAGTTCTTTCTGCGTGTTAGTGCTGCTTATTACCACCACAAACTTATTCACTGATGCCTCATCATGAAGCCTAAAGGAGATTTTGCAAGTTTCATAAGGTAATTTTGATAAATTGGTGACTAGGAAGGTAGGGTAATGATCAGTAGTATTGTCTGCTGTTGGAGGAGCTGGAATATTGTTAAACATAAATGCTCATAGGAGTCTTATGTTTGTTGCTGATGTTAGAGATTCTCACAAACACGAGCACATAATAAAAGTGCTTTTTCTTTTGGTTTGATATTTATTTTCGTAGTTCTCTTGAGAAAAATTGGCTCTTAAAAGAATGTAAGAATTTTGTTTTCAAAATTTTTCTATATACACGTACAAGGGAATTACAACTTCAGGGCCAGCCACCGTTAACAAGGATTAATTCACCTTAGCTGTATTTCCAAATCATTTCAGCTATAAGCCTGCAAAGATTTAAATTAAATAAAATTAAATGTTGAAAAAATGAGATAGGATTGTGCAAAAGCAGAGGAAATAAAGATCAAATTATGCTGTTGGAGCACAGATTACAATGTACCAAGTTGAATTCAAGCTAGTGTTTTATACAGCACATACATTTTTGTATATGTTGCTAGTTTAATAAACTAGCTATTGCATATTTTAAGCTCCAAATTTCAAAAGTAGAGTTAATTTCTAATAATTCTGCACATGCCCTTTATCCCTTAATTTAAAATTATCTATTTATATTTCCAGAAAGAAATGATATATAAAATAGTACAGTACTGCTGTAAAACGAAAATTGCTGTAAAGCGAAGCATTGCCCATTTTTTTTCACTTTTAAATGCATATTAAGGCCTAATAGCATGTTTACACTCGTATATTAAGTGAGCAATAGAGCTAGGCCTAAAAAAAATGCATATACATAACACACACTACTTGCCTTAAAATATTTTCGTCCTTAGCTGATAGTGAGTGGCGAATATATTTATTGTAGGAAGTCTGAATAAATGAAGAATGGGTATAATTGAAAACCACTGCATAAGCAAAGCACTGTAGAATGGGGCCCAACTGTATCACTGTATTAGAATAATCAAACTGCTATTTATACTACATTAAACATTTAATTTGAGTTGGTATCGTAGCATTGAAATTGCGTACTTTTATTTCCACTTCATGCTGCTGGTCTAACATAAAAACAGTTTTCTCTGGCTTTTAGTCAAGTGGTTATATGATAAAAGTTCAGTTTAACTTTGTTATACAGTTTACAAATTTGCCAGTACACTAATTGAAAAGCTTTTTGGGCTATACCCCCAGAAGGAAAACAAAATAGTACATACACAGTTATTCTAAGGTCACTGCCATTATTTTATTTTTGAATGTGCCCTTATGTAATGCCCCTTGCTTATTAATATTTTCAGGCCATCATAACCATGGTCCCTGAAGCATGGCAAAATGACAAGCTGATGAACCCCGAAAAGCGGGACTTCTATCGTTGGGCTGCTTGTGCAATGGAGCCATGGGATGGACCTGCACTGATGACATTCACCGATGGTCGCTATATTGGAGCTATTCTGGACAGGTGTGTGTTATGCCTTATGGCTATTGGCTAGATCCTCTGCTTCTGCTCCCTCAGTACAGTACCTAGCTGGGGGAGGTTGGTGTGAGAAGAGGTACTGTACCTGGTATTGAAGTTAATGAAGTAGTGTGTAAGGAAAGAATAGCTAGTAAGTGTTCCCACATGGTTTATATTAGCAATTATTTTAAAAACCACTATTCACATGGCTGCTATTATATATCTATCTCCTAATAATATTAATAACAAACCAATGTACAAAATGATCTATGCAATATAATATACTAAGTTTACTCCTTGTTGCTTGTGACAGAGGTAACAAAATGTTCAAAATATGCAGGTCAGGTGTTATTGATTACTGCTCTTAAGTCTTCTAAAAAAAAAAAGTGGGCTTTGTTCACTTTTGTTTGAAACAGATATTTAGTGACTGTTAAAACTTAAATGCTTTTTAACAGCCTAGTTTAGACAAAGCACTGTAGATGCCAGAGGCAGCATAACTCTGGACTGGTTGGTGCCTAGGCCTTCTTTTATTGCTGTTAGATAATGCGAGAAATTGTAGTGCAAGATTGTCACCTTTACATCTCCAGCTATTGCTGATTATTGGTGCTGCAACTCCTCTTCCTTTTGTTAATCCTTGTGTAATATTCCTAAGGAAAAATGCATCTTGTATCAGTTATGATTATAGTGAATGTATTTAGTTGAAGGCTTTTATTTATTCTTTAATTCAAATTACGGGTCTCCCTCAACATTCGCGAGGGTTAGGGGATCAAGTGCCTTGCGAATATTGAAAAATCGCGAATGTTTAGTGCCCCAATATATTGTAGGGAAATATAATACAATACTGCTTCCTTAACTTGTTGAACCATGAACAATTATGAAATACATGAAAACATCTTAAATTGTACTAAATACATACATGTTATGGTTTAATAACATGTATGTTATTAAATACCACTGCGAGTCCCTACTA